ATAAAAACCGTTAAAAACCCGCAACACCTGATCATTCATTCTGAGATTGGGCCGCCTGTGATTTAACTCGAAAAAAAGTTCGGTTACGCCCATTTTTTATTTCATAAAATGATTTCTTTTAGTATTTTGAATTCTGTAATAGCCAAAAAACTTATTACGAATTTTCACATTTTACTATCTTGAAAAATTTCGGCATTACAGAATTTTTTTAAATTAGAAAAATAATTCAAAATTTCAATAGAAATTATTTTATGAAATAAAAGATGGGTTAAAATTTCGAGTTAAAATTACTTTACACATAAATATCTGCCATGTTGTGACGTTATTGTTGCCATCGCAATGGCTGTCAGGCCGGAGTAGTTCAGTGAAAAATTCCTTAACTCTTTAGTTATTGTGTTATGCCAGTCAGATACTCTTTGTTTTTAAACAAGTAATAATTGTCCAGAAATCCATATCCAAATCAGAAAATCTTTACTTTAAAAAAGTGTAGGGAGCCACCTCAATACGACAAATTACATTGTAAAATCACCCCGGTTAAAATTTCCTGATTAACCCGGCTACGGTACATAGAAATAACCCTACTGGTTATTTCTAATTTTTTGTTTGATTTTAACCTTTTTCCTGGTTATTTTAACCGTATTGCAAACGAAAACGTTTCCCGTTTACAAAAGTGTTTTTCAAAAGATTTCAAAAATTTTAATGAATATAATATAGCAAATTGAACATCGTATCATATGCAATTCTGGACTGAAATCAAACTTGTGATTACAAATCGGTCGTTCGCTTTGAGATCCGACGCGTTTGATTTCAATTCTCCACTCCACTGGTTGCTCCACTCAGTTCACTGATAATACTGATTACCATCAGTTAATCACGCCGGCGGAGATATGTATAGTCTCCCCTCTAGTAAAAAAGCTTTTACCATTAAAAACTTCGTCTATATAGGCATTGTTTAAAAGTCCTTAAAAAGTGAATCTGTCATATACCATGCCGAATAACACAATTTCAAGAAGTCGAAGTTATGATCCATGTGATTGTAAATCGCTTGTATTGCATTGGCAACTGAATACTAAACGCGAAAGTAAGTGATGACTGATGTTTAAATAATTTTATATAGGCTGAATTGAACGGTGATATTTTCGTCAACATAGCTTTTGCTGTTGATATTTACTGGCGCAAAGGAAAACAAAAGAAAAATAATTCGTGCAGAAGGAAAGCAAAGAAAAAATACCCTTAAAATTTTCTAACGGTCCGCCCCATAAGTCATAAGGGTGGTATATCTGGGCCGGACCAGGGCTACAAGGGATTAAGTAACACGGCAAATTACTATATAGTCGACTATACCTTCGGCTTCGGTGTGATTGCCGTACGCTGTACTCATCGTATACATTCCATAATGTTATAAGAAAATTTCAGTTAATGTAGTTATTGTATACGTAATTGAAGCTAGAACTCCACCAAATTAAACCTGGATATGTTGTGACATGGATGCCCATACGCACGTTAGAACCCTGACGTGTATGTACATAGGGGTTCGGGTCATTTTATGCGTGCGGATCGACTGCTTGTGATCGTTATGACGTCTTTCACTGAACTTATTTTTTACAATGACCGCTGGCAACAATCCGATTGGTTTGCATTAAATTTCTAATAAGCAATGTAATAGGTTTATTGATTGCTTGTGATTGCGGTAAGCCCTGGTAAACTCAAGTTCTTTGACACGATGATACTGGCGCTGGTTAAATGGAAAAGTCTGTCTGGATAGCAGTGATCAGAGCTTCAGTTCAAAATCGCACACAGTTGCCTCGGTCGTTCACTGACAGTGTGTCAGGGCCCAGGGTCTTGACTTTAGGTTGTAGAGACCCCTCTAGATTCTAAAACAGTATTTCTCGCATTCTTAGGCGACTTTTGAAGTAAAACAATGCAACCCCCCCAAAATATTTTATCGTTGTTATTTTCCATGCATTTCCCACTGGAACCCAGGATGTTTTACAATAACAGGTCATTTTGGGGGCATAACCAGATTCAGATCAAGCAGGAACCTTTGTCTTTGATCCGCCATGTTCGTACGCGTCAGGTACTTGAGCTGATTTCACCCTTGATATTTGTGAGAGAACTGATTGGAAATCAGGAATTTCATGATCTGTTCTGCCGCCTGAACCTATCTGTGAAATGTTGATAAACGTGCTGTCGGTGCTGATCACAAACTCGATTCATCATTATGAAATATTCCTTTTTGTATATATAACGGCACATAGCCTTCTTTGACTTTGTGATTATGTTGCTCTCTCCGTCCACTGCTACGTCAACAAATTGTTGACTCAACAAGTACAATATTCAATTATTGATCATTCTCGTTGAAGAGATAATTTTTGGTTATCATTATTCCTCACCCAACCATGCTCTTCTCCTGACCAACACCGTCAATACATTGTATTAAAAAACCTGGCTCAAGCGGTGGCCAATAGCTGTTTGAGGTCGCGAACTATCACACTGGCGCGAGCTTGGCTATGGTTTATTGATTAAGCAGGTACGATAATCTGCAGTCTGCGTACAGTGCTGCTGCGAATCCTCAAGCACTGACAAGCGTTCGTGCATGTGACCTATCATCAAAGCCAACGCATATCCATTCTTACCAGGAAACGCCTCACCACGCTTTAATAATTTAGTCTGCATTCATTTCTACTGTGTTTTCACAAGGCAAAACTCACTATCCTATATCTACGTTCACACTGTACACAACCATATAAAGTAACACATATTGAAAAAATAAGACTTAAGGACCATATTGAAAGATGGAACATTCCAAATAGGCGAGATATCAGATCGGACATGCTTTGGAATACTTCCATATGTTAATGTGGCATAGCTTGAGAACACATATAGTGGAACTGAACAGCGCCAATATAGTCACGATTCAGTATTTCATTGTCTTTTTCTGTGACTCGTTGTTTTCATCTATTTAGCTTCTGAAAAAAGCCTAATACATTCAATTCTTTTAATTTTGAATTGTCAATTATAACCCAAATGGGTGCAACAACCAAGTTTTCGCCTAAGGGATAACATTGTACACATCAACTAAGGGATAACATTGTATACATCAACTAACCTCATGATTTCCAATTTGACATTTGCAAGAATGTAAGATGCAGAAATCGTAAGTTGTCTAATAATGAATAAATATATAAACTATTTAAAGCACGTGTAGGTGTGTTCTTAAAATACAACCCATCTTATGAGTTTATTGGCGAAGTAATTTTAAAAATAAACGCTGTCTAAGCCGAGAAAATCAGAGCTAATGTTTATGTTTTATCGTTTATAAAAACCCCAACACGGCAGTGATTTCCTTTGTCATTTCCTCACGAATTATTAATGAGTTGTTTAATCTTGTTTGATGGTTCATAAAATCAGGAAGTTATACTCATGCAGAGGCGCAGAAAGCAGAATTTTTTTTTTTTTTTTTTTTTTTGGGGGGGGGGATCAATGTAATCACCCATCACCCAACTATAGGGGGTCTGGAGGAATGCTCACTCAGAAAATTTGAAGTCTAGAACCTCTGATATGGCACCTTCAGCCATCATTGGGGCGTTGATTTGGGAAGCATTAGGCAGTTAGTCTGCTAAAAGATAATATTGCATGGATTACACCATTACTCCGAAATATGCAACGAATACAATTGTATTTGTATTGAAGAATACGACTTTAAAATGAAAATGGCTATAGCTGATTGTTTAGCTACAACTCTTTTCACAACGCATTTCACTTCGCATTGCTACGAAAAGGCGTAAAACGTCAGAAAGAGAATTGCAGATTGATTTTGAATAAAATTGATACGTGTTATTCAATGCGATTTCTCTATAGTTTATGGATATTTGGCAGGTAAACATGGGAAGATACCCGATACGTATTCTTCAACAGTAACTGGGCATTCTCCCCATTGGGAGTAAAACACTTCTCCATATACTGGAAGTGGTCTCCAAATTCATCAGGCACTAGTTGGCAGAAAAACGTGCTGTCAAATTTCGTGCAACCGCATGCATTTGTACCTGCTTTCTTGTGTGGTCCTCGACAGTGACGACAGTCATCTTTAGTTGTTCTTTGATGGTGGTAACAGCTTCATCTCTGTACTTCTTTATCATCCAGTCACCTACCAGGTTAGATGATTTTTCTGTGTAGTTGCCTGGCTCGGAATGCATCTCGAAAGGCACCGCTATAAAACTTGATTTCTTCTATTTTGACAGCCAGCTAGAGGACCTACATTTACCCACTAACATTTCTCAACATCAACATTTCCAAACTAAGGGTTGTTAACTGTGGAGGTTGTACCACTTACTCCTGCCCGAAGCAGATCCCCAAATGGATATACTGATTTAGCCGAAAACTGCTTTCGATTGTAGGATGGTAGACATCAATTTCTATAATCTTTGATGGTGAAATGGTGAAATTGGAGCTGAACTTGATCCCTTAGCATTCGGTTGTTGCGCTGTCACCGCGTGTGTTATGCTCAGTAGGTGGTAAAAAACGAATAAAGTAAACC